AATTAGGAATAATATTTCTAAGGCTTAAGGCCCGACGCACATTTGTTGACGAATGCATGCAACCTACAAATGACTAGAGGCGAGCTACAAATGACATGTTTGCCTCTTACTTAGACACAATAAAAGCTATCATCCACGAAGCGGCAACATTAAATCCGCCTATAACAGACTTCTATAACGCATTTGAGACTTAATTAAAATTATAATTAGGTAGTATCGATTTTGAAAGATAATAATAATGACATTAGACTGAAGATCGATGCATCACCCACAACCATCGGTAATAAGACTGTACATTCCTCGTAAATGTGGAGGGCGAGGCTATTTAAATGACAAAAAGTGTGCAATCTCCGAAAGTATTTTTTTGCAAATGGACGTGGGGATGCATCGAGATGTTGTCGCTGTGGACAAAGGGCTTACTCCACTCTCCTTGGCTAACGAGGACTGGAGAGAACCTACCTCGTGTGTTCATAAGTTTTGAGACAAATTAAAAGTTGCATATCTTTTTAAATAGTAAACTTATATTTATAAAAACAATAACAAACATTAAGTAGATAGTAAGTAAAAATTAAATATAATTATTATTCAAAATGACCACCCCTGTTTTTAATACATGCCCTTAGACGATTTGGCCAGTCATCAATGGCGGCACGAATCTTTTCCAGAGGAATTCGCTTCGCTTCTCGGACAAGAGCTCGCTTAAGTGACTCCAAGTTTGGGTGGGACTTTCGGCAGGCTCTGAGCTCTAATTCGGTCCATAGAGAATAATCCAGCGGGTTGAGGTCGGGGCTGGAGGAGGGCCATTCGTTCGCCGCAATGAAGGCCGGCACATTTTCCTTCAGCCAAGCTTGGGTGGTTTTAGCCTTATGGGATGGCGCCGAGTCTTGCTGGAAAACCCAATACTTGTTATGGAATAGGGTATTAGACAGGGGTTTCACAACAGTCTCTAGAATGTCACTTCGATAATTTTTGGCTTTCACCTTGACGCCTTGTTGGCAGAAATGAAGCTCAGTGACACCTTCGTACGAAGCTCCCCACCATACCATGACACTAGCCGGATGATGAGTACGCGAGACATTCCGTGCTGAAGGTGGGACATCCTTGCTACTTTTGGCATACACTTTATTGTTTTGTCGATTGAACTTTTCTTCGACGGTAAAGATTTTCTCGTCGGTGAAGAGTATCTTCCTCGCATCGTGTCTCCTAAGCAGTATTGGACAACGTTCGCGTCGCAATTGACGAAGGCGATCGTTTAAAAAGTGTACTTTTCTACGGCTATACGCCTTAACCTTGAGATCATATTTCAGTATTCTGTTGACTGAAACGCGCGAAATATTGGTCTGCAGAGCGAGTTTCTTCTGAGTGCGACATGGATTTCGGCGAAGTCGCTCTCGGATAATTTTAATGTTCGCAGGCGTCCTCACAGAGCGTGGACGACCACTTCTTTGCTGATCATGTAAAGAACTTGTCTCCTGGTATCGTTTAATAGTGTAATACACGAAGTTACGGCTCACACCAAAACTTTTCAGTTCTCGGAAAATGTCCATAGGTTTTCTTCCCACCTTAAATAATGAAATGACGGTCGCACGTAATTCTTTTGTTCCCTCCATTACGAGAAAATTTAAATAAAATAATCCGAAATCATAGATATTAAAAGTTAACATTCCAAATTCAAAATTAGAAAAAGAAATATACAGCAGCCAGTAATTTTTATTTTATTTTTATAAGCAAAAAGTTTGTCTCAAAACTTATGAACACACGAGGTATAATACAAAGCACTAATAATCGCAAGAATGTGTGGTAAAGTAAGGAGTTGCACGGACGTTCGGTTTGGGCCTTGAGAATGTCGAGATGTGGGATGTGGAATCAGCAATCATTGTGCCGATAGTCGTATCTGCCATTTTTTTTTTTTTTTTTTTTTTTTTTTAAAAAATTGGCCTCATTGCTAAAAGCTTCGACCAAATAAATGAGTAGGCTAGCATTAAATGGTTGGGTCAAGAGATTAAGGGCAAATTCAGTTCCTCATATGCCTTTTCCAGATAATCTTTTGAACAGATGCCTGATCATAAATATTGCATTTGAAACGTCTATCATTGCCATGTATTTTCATAATTATGTTCCCTTAACGAAACTAGATAGTATGGTTAGGTTAGCCTTAAGAAGCGGCGGATTAAACCTAGAGGGCGTCCTAAGCATGGGCGTCCCTTTTTTTGGGATAGCCATACGTGCGGTTGGACACGCGCGCCTCAAGGTACCCGTATGTAATCTGTCGCCCTAGATACTTGCCCAGTTTGCATTAGAGATACTACAGGTCCGAATTTAGGGAGAGATAAAAACAAACATTTCAGTATAAAACGTTCTATATTAATAACAAATACATTCACAAGCCAATTTTATGCCAAATTCTGTACTTAACAATGGAAACATAACCACTTTATTAGAATTTTTTATACTTAATAGTATGGCGTTTGGCCACCATTTCGCTGAGTAGTAAGCTATGAAGGGGCTGATGATGGAGCACGCCTTCCTATGAGCAACTTGTCCACTAGGAACTTGAAGACACCCAAGGTGTATTTTTAGGAGTCACAGAATCCAGCAAGAAATTTCACTCCTTCGCAGTTCTCACAAGGAAACTCTGAGCGAAACGCTTCGTACGAATGGGTGGAATATCTACCATATAAGGGCGATGCTTTGCCGTTCGTTAGGTAATACAATGGTGAAACGAAAATAAAACTTAGACCAGTTCACGATGTCGGTTCCTCATGTGGCCTTTCCAGCTACATTTTTGGACGAATGCTTGTCCACAGTGCTTACATTTAAAACGCCTATCATCACTATGAATCCTCATATGTTCTGTTAAAGTCTTCTTTCTACCATAAGACTTCAAGCATATTGTACATTTGAATTCTTTAACACCGGTATGCTTAACCACATGATGCCTCAATTCACTTGGGCTAAAAAACTTCATGTCGCACTGGGTACATTTGTGAGGCCTTTCCATTAAGTGATCTCTTTTAGTGTGGATAGTCAAAGCACCCTTACTATCAAAGGTTTTATCACAAGCCTGGCATTTAAGCGCTTTTAATTTCACGCTATGAACTTTGACCATATGAGTGTCCCTTTGCCTATAACCCGTAAATTTCTGATTGCAGTAACCACATTTGCTTCGCAAACTTGCGTGTATATGAACAGATCTCTCATGACTATTTTTCTTTTGTAGTGTATCAAACACTTTTGAGCATAGACCGCACTTAAACGTTCCAGTCCTATGAGTTCCCATGTGGGACTTTATCATTTGTTTATTAACAAATCCAGCGTCGCAATAATCACAAATATAATTCCTATAGTGCACATTCATGTGCTGTAATAAATTCTTAAAGTTATTAAAGACGGTTTGGCAATACAAACACCTGAGTACGTCATCATCAAATTTGAACGGCAGCACATGACTTTTGATGTCTGTAAAAACCTTTTTATCATGTTCTTTGATTAAATGTTCCATAAATTGTTCCAGTTTATCGAATTTTGCTTCACAAATATTACACTTGAGATTGGTAATGTCTAGTTTTACGAGGAAGGAGGACATCATTTTGCCTTCTATGAATTTAAATTTAAATTTATCATCGTGGGCTTGGAGCGTGTGCTTTTTTAGATCTGCTGGGTCGGGGTACTGGTCTCTGCAGAAACAGCAGGCGTAACCAGTGCCCCCTCTACATCGAATGGGGGTTGCGTTGGAATATTGCAAGATAAGGTTTGTATTACTCCTATGTTTAATTAGCTCATTGGGCTTTGTATCCTCGAGCTGTTCGCTTTTGCTTCGGGTAATTCGTTTTAGTTTTTTGTCACAGTCCTTTTCATTCTTGGCGTTCACGTTACGTGGAACACCTACAAAGAAAAGGGATGGATTATTTATTGTTTTCTTGTTAATTTGTTCTTCTATATTTCTATTTTAGTTTTCTCTTGTCAATCAAATTATGGTTCTCCCAGTGAGGCGTTCCATAGTGTAAGTTATTGCACCTTTTTCTTTATCATTTAAACCTCCCCAGTTTAAACATGGCTCACCATAACCAAATGTTAGTTTTATTATTAGTTAGTTAATTTTATTAAAACTTTCTCAAGACATACTAAATGAATTATTAAGTTTTCGACTTACACACGTAACTGTTTGACAAGGAACTCTACTAGTTTCAAGCCATGCTAGAGGCTCATATTCATGAACAGCATTCCGCGACCCGCAACGCGATGACTGTCGCGCTGCTACTGGCTGCTCGACTCTACGGCAGTGTGGGCTTAACTTTTTTTTCATTGTTCATGTAACATTGTACAGTGGCATTAAGTGCCGTAATGTGCACCTCTGCCTACCCCTTCGGGGCTAAAAGGCGTAATTTTAATATAAGCGTCCTCAGCAAACACCTCATGGGCGCCCCAGTTTTTTTTTTATAGCCATATGTATGTTTGGGCTCGCGTGTCTCGTGGCACCCGTATGAAATCTGGTGCCCTAGATAAGTATCTCTAATGCAAACTGGGCAAGTGCACAGTTTACTACAGATAGATACTAGATACTACAGATCTGAATAAGATATAGAATAAGATACTACAAATCTGAATTTAGGAAAAGATAAACAAATATTACAATATAAAAATTTCTATATTAATAACAAATAAATTCATAAGGTAAGGGCAAATTGTTCAACAATAAAAATAATCATTTCTTACAGAATTTTTCTTATACTTCATAGGATGGCGTCTGACTACCACCTCGCTAAGTGGTAACCAATGAAAGGGCCGATGATGGAGCACGCCTTCCTATGAGCAACTTGTCAACTAGAAACTTGAAGACACCCAAGTTGTATTTTTCTGGAGACACAGAATCCAGCCAGGAATTCCATTCCATCGCAGTTCGCATGAGAAAACTCGAAGCGAAACGCTTCTTACAAATGTGTAGAATATCTGCACCTTGCCGTTTGTCTGGTAGAACGATAGTGAAACGAAAATAAAACTTAAACCAGTTCACGATGTCGGTTTCTCATGTGGCCTTTCCAGCTACATTTTTGGACGAATGCTTGTCCACAGTGCTTACATTTAAAACGCCTATCGTCATTATGAATCCTCATATGTTCCGTTAAAGTCTTCTTTCTACCATAAGACTTCAAGCAGATTGCACATTTGAATTTTTTAACACCGGTGTGCTTAACCATATGTAGTCTCAACGCACTTGGGATAAAAAACTTCATATCGCACTGGGTACATTTGTGAGGCCTTTCCATTAAGTGATCTCTTTTAGTGTGGATAGTCAAAGCCTTCTTACTATCAAAGGTTTTATCACAAGCCTGGCATTTAAGCGCTATTAATTGCACGCCATGAACTTTGACCAAATGAATGTCCCTTAGCTTATAACTCGAAAATCTCTGATTGCAGTAACCACATTTGCTAAGTAAACTTGCGTGTATATGAACAGATCTCTCGTGACTTTTTTTCTTTCGTAGTGTATCAAAGATTTTTGAGCAAAGATCGCACTTAAACGTTCCTATCTTATGTCCTTCTGTGTGGGAAGTTAAAATATTCTTATTAACAAACCCAGCGTCGCAATAATCACAAATATAATTCCTACAGTGCACATTCATGTGCTGTAGTAAATTCTTGAACTTATTAAAGACGTTTTGGCAATACAAACACCTGAGTACGTCATCATCGAATTTGAACGGCAGCACATGACTTTTGATGTTTGTAAAAACCTTTTTATTATGATCTTTGATCAAATGTTCCACAAATTGTTCCAATTTATCAAATTTTGCTTCACAAATATTACACTTGAGATTGGTAATGTCTAGTTTGACGAGGAAAGAGAACATCTTTTGGCCTTCCATGAATTGGAGTTTAGTTTTATCATCATGGTCTTGGAGCGTGTGTTTTTTTAGATCTGCTGGGTCGGGGAACTGGTCTCCGCAGAAGCAGCAGGCGTACCCAATGCCCCCTCTACATCGAATGGGGGTTGCATTGGAACATTGCAAGATAAGCCTTACATTACTCCTATGTTTAATTAGCTCATTGGGTTTCGTATCCTCGAGCTGTTCGCTTTTGCTGTTGGTAATTCGTTTTAGTTTTTTGTCACAGTCCTTTTCATTCTTGGCGTTCACGTTACGTGGAACACCTACAAAGAAAAGGAATGGATTACTTATTGTTTCCTTGTTATTTCGTTCTTCTTTATTTCCATTAATTGTTTTGTCTCGACAGTTGAATTATGGTTCACACAGCAAGGTGTAATTAGACAACGATTTTGCACCTTTTTTTCGTCATTAAAATATCGGTTTGGCTCAAACTTGGTCCACCATAACCAATGCATTAAAGTGATTTGATTTAAGTGTTTTATTACTTTAGTTAGTTAATTTAAAAAAAAACTCCTGGAATGCATATACTTGTACGCGTATTTGAAGGACAGCATCAAGTTGAATAAAGTTTTTAGCTACTGTTAACAGAAAAAAAAATTAAAAAGTATTGAAGTCTTTAATACCAGTATTTGGCATTGCCAATGGCAGAGCCCATATCTCTAGAGAAACTAGCCGCCCAGGGCGTTAGGTTATAGCGGGGCCTTACCAAACGAGCGCGCAAAAACGCGAGCCCATAGAATGGTGGCTGCACCAAAAAGATTACAGCTGGGCTCTACCACACAAGCGCGCGAGACGCGCGAGTCCATAGAATGGTGAAAAATTAGGGGCGTCGATGATATGCTTTGCTAAGGCGTACTCTACGTTTAATTGGCCTCTGTGATTAAGAGTTTATCAGAATATCTATTCCAGTAACTTAACAAATAAAACAGTTTTGATAGGCACACAGATTTTATTGACTTAATCACATATCTCTTGGAGACATTAATAATAGGAAAAACATTTCAAATACGTAATCTAAAGTGACTCGAATAGCGCTTCTAAGAAATAAATAAAAATTATGGTTACGTATACAATTCTCGAATTTACTTGTCTTGTTCGCAGTACTTGCTACTCGACTAAAATCTAGTATTTTAGTCGAGTAGCGTATAGTAGTTCTCTCTCAGTTCGATTTTGGGAACGCCACTTATCCAATGGATAATTGGGTAATATTCACCAATATTTCTATTTCGAAATTAAGAAGGTATTAAAATTACAGATTTATAGTCTAAATGCACAACTTTCATATTTTTATAAGAACTGTGCCTTTAGCCAAACGCCACTTTAGCGCTTGTCTACAGAAAGAGTAGAAATCAAAATGTATGGGGATGACACTGACAAGTGTCAAAATTTACGTCAATTCTATATAATTTGGTTTTATATTATACATGTAGACAAGCGCTAAATGGCATTTAGCTACAGCTGCTGGCTACTCCTGCGCTGTTTCCCCGCTCTGCTCGGCACCTATTGATGGTAGCATGATGTTTTATATCGTTTTAAGTTCGAACCAATAGTTTGACTGCACGGTTGGTGCGGTGGCTGGGCAACCGGCTGCCGTGCAACGTGTCGCGGGTTCGATTCCCGCACGGAACAACACTTTGTGTGATCCACAAATTGTTGTTTCGGGTCTGGGTGTCATTGTGTATGTGAACTTGTATGCTTGTAAACGCACCCACGACACAGGAGAAAATCCTAATGTGGGGCAACGTTTCATTAAAAAGAAAAAAAAAGAAAGTTCCAGAGATAATCGAGTTCAAGCTAACAAACAAACTCTTCAGCCTTATACACCGTGTTATATCGTTTTCGTCTCGCAGCAAAACAGCTTGACATAAAAAGTACTTTCGATGTATAAAGATGAAAACAAAAAATAAATGCGTATACTTGTAGGTTCAAAAACATTCATAGGCTTTCACATAACATCAGGAGTACGAACGGGGTGGTTTTTAGTCAGTAAGAATCTGACACTCCCTCTCGCCTCACCCGGGCGGTAGAAGTCATTGGATGATTTTCCCCACTCAAAAAAAAAATCTATTCGCATGTGTGGTGATTCCGTAAGAGGGCAACCCGGGTCACGGTCACAGGCAGTGAAGGAACACCGTGGTGGTTTTAGCTGGTAAGAGTCCGGCACGCCTCCTCGTCGTCCCCACGACGTGTGAAGTACATGAGGTGAGGATTTCCTTCGCCATAGAAAATAAAGGGAACTATTCGCATCGCTCGTGCCACCCGACGAGAAATACCTCTTCGAGAATTACATGGCCTGATGTTTTGATTGTGTACCTTGAGTCGTATGCACTTTCGAAGTTTACTTTTTGCAATGGTTCAGCAATTATTTCTTGTTTAAAACATTTTGTTTGTAAAACGATTGTATTACCGAGACAGAACCATTTTACTTCGGGACGAAATCGAAATTATTAATAATTATATTATATTTCACGTTGTATGTATAATAAAAATGTCTAAATATTAAGATTATATTTACTTTGGTATTAGACTACGAGATCCTTAGGTAATTATCTTAGGGCAAGCATTTTTTTCTACTGGAACTACAATACATTTATAATCATGAAAGTAAACGAGTATATAAAATTTCAGGTCAATTGGTTGAAGATATCTGCTTTAGAATTCAGTTGCAATATTCCACTTCCACACACAACATATTTATATTGCGGGTTAAATAAAAGTTTGTAAAAAGGTAAGGATTGTAATGCCAAGCCTATAGAGATAACAGCGAAAAAATGTATTAGTTAAACACTTCTGAATTATCAAGATTTGAACGTGTTTTCTTTCGCAATTATGCATAGGGTGCGCGTGACCGCCAACAGCATACTGAAGACTATAAGCAGACCAACGGTACAGCCCCATAATGGGGCATTGAATACGTATACATGCCGTTGTGGCGTAAGATAATTTTTCCAATTGTAACTGATAATTTTAACTACTAACACTAGTTTTATAAGTTGTTTGTATACCAAATTTATTTAAGTTTTCTGCAATAAAAAGGTTTGTTATTATTTTTTTACTTTATAGTGTAATAAATTCATTAAATTGTAATTCCATGCTTAGACCGCATATGCCCCTTCCAGCTAACTTTTTGAACGAATGCCTTATCACAAATATCACATTTGAAACGTCTATCGTTGTCATGTATCCTCATATGTTCCCTCAACCCTTTCTTCAACGTATACGTTTTAGAGCACAGGTTACACGAAAACCGTTTAACACCAGAATGCCTAACCATATGTTGCATTAATGTGTCTTTGGCGAAAAATGCCATATCACATTCAGTACATTTGAAAGTCCGTTCGAGGAGATGATCTCTACGGATATGGATTTGCAGTCGACTATCCGAGTAAAAAACCTTATCACAGGCTTTGCATTCTTTGGGCTCATTGACTTTAATACCATGTACTTTCCTAAGGTGCAGACATTTCTGACTGTACCATAAAAACTTCTCGCCGCAGTAATTGCACTTGTTCATCGACACCAAATGCGCAGTCTTCTCGTGATATTTCTTCTTCAAAGGCGTTTCGAATTCCTCTGGACAATGGCCACATTTGAAGATTCCTACTTTATGACTATCGCTATGTGAGATGAACATTTTCTCATTAACAAATCCAGAACCACACATATCGCAAACGAAATTGTTGTAATGTGTGCACATGTGTTCTTGTAGAACTTTGAATTTCTTGAATTGGAGCTCGCAAAATGTGCATTTGAAGGAAGAATCTTCGAATATGAAAGGTATAATATAACTTTTTATGTCAGTGAACATTGGCTTTTCGTGGTCATCTTTTAGATGGTGCATAAGGTCTTCAACTGAGTCCATTTCTGTGTTGCATAGGTTGCATTGTAGGCCAGTAACATCCAGTTTCACCAAAAAGCCCTTGAGGCCAAATCCCTTCGTGTAATCCATAATTTCTCCGTCAGTGTGGTTAGTAATAGTGTGGATCTTTAATTCTTGTGCTTCTAGGAATTGTTCTGGACAGAAACAGCAGACAAATCCGATATCGTACTTACGTATAGGTGTCGCATTACTGTTCAATAGTATTTCGTGTACGTTATATCGTTGCTTGAACAGTTCTACTTGATATGTTTTTTGATTCTGTTTCTCAGAGATTGCCTCGTTTTCTGGTTCGGTTTGTTGGGTTACGGTTTCCTCAATGACCTGTTGATCCGTCGTTTTCGAAAGTAATTTGATGGCTAATTCGGTTTCGATTCTCCTTTTACCTAAAAAATAAATATTGCTTTGTATTTTTCTTGATTTATAAGAGAAACCTTCCGGTTTTTATTAATTTGTGTTTCAATAACGATAATGTTTAACTTTGAAATTATATATTTATAATGTACGTATGTACATCTACACTTTGTAATGAGCAAATAGCTCCACTAAGATACTGACGGAGGCGACCGGCAGACAATTTTACTTTAATTATTTCGTTTTACTTTATTACTCTTATTTGTTTAAAAAAGGTTCGAAATCGTCCAATCTATTGCGTTTCCATTAAATATTTATCACTTTTAGAACATAGCAGTCCTAGCAAAATTAAATCCTTAGATTAAGTTATTCGTAGCGCTTCGTCTAGTTTCGAGGCATAAACGGGACTCATAAACAGCATGCACGGCGACTTACATCAAATGTTATTATTGTCAAACAGTTTACGCAGAGCCGTACTATCACTTATTAGGCTAGTGACTAGGGCGGCAGGTTTCAGAAGGCTACCGCGAGACGCGCGTACCTAACCTGAATGATGGAAGCGCCAAAAAACTTTAGGGGCGCTTATGAGGTGCTTACCTAGGGCGCTCTCTGGGTTTATTTTGTCTCTGTAAGTAGTACAGAGACAAAATAAACCATACATAATAAAAATAGTAAATAAAATTATTTACTGCCGTAAAGAGTACTTTACGGCAGTAAATAATTAGTATATTAAAGTTTGTTTTACGACAAAACCTATCAAAAAGGGTTAATATTGCTACTACGATTAAAATTAAAGGTAAAATAAGAATACCGGGTAAGATTGAAATAAATATACTCAATAAATTAACCCTAACATACATAGATCACAAGTACATACATGTATCACTGTTAAAATCTATTAAATACAATACTGAAAGCTTTACTATTACGTATGTAATATTAATATTTAAATAAATAATGGCCATTTCTCCAAACTCCTTAATTTTAATGTCAAAATTATCATCATCATCATCATATCAGCCATAGGACGTC